CCAAGCTTGCACGAGCCCTAGCCCAAGCCTCGCATTCGCATGCATCACGCACTGAGCAACCTGCTCTCGTCGAGCAGCTCACTCCCATGGCCCAGCCTGCTCCCGCTGAGCAACCTGCTTTTGCAGCCCTGCCTGCTCCCGGGACCCAGCCTGCTCCCGTAATCCAGCCTACTTCTGCAGCCCTGCCTGCTCTTACAACCCTGCATCTCATGGTTTCCCAAGCAGCTTAAGTTGGCCCGAGAATATCTCAACTATCCGGAGTAACCATCGAGCCGGGGGTATTTTCACCATATTTCTCCGCAGATTTGACATTTCCCAATTCAAATCTTGCACTCGTAGTCTACCACACGTCCACTGCTCAAGGAGGCACACCAATCCAAATGGCGAATAACACTTGTCTCGACAAGTCATAGAGTTGAGAGCGCCCTTGCACAATAGACAACCTTGGTGAATCAACTCTTGCAACGCACCGAGATCCAACGTGCCCCGGATGAGGTGACGACAAGGGTAGACGAACCTCTCCACCAGCGTCTCAGCAAACAACCCCTTAACTAGCCACGTTCCAAGCGTTCTGGCAGTTTACGCTCTTACCTAGGTTTTTGGGATAGTGTATACTCTCGTCTTAGCGTGCGGATGAGCGTGCATTCCCAATCAAGCCCACGGACGAGCATACATTCACCGTTGAGGTCACACTCCGATTATCAACATGGACAACCTTCCAGGCAAAATGTTCATTCACAACTAGGCTCACAATGAGCATTCTCCACCTCACATCGGAGTAGGCAGCACGGCAGATGGAGAGAAACAGTCATTCAATCCGACTCAAGTTCAACTGGCAGCCTGGGAACTGCCCGTTCGCCTGCCAGGTACATGCCACATGCGCCGTAACCGCGACATGGACGAGTCGAGCATAGGGAAGAACGACCTAAACCCATAGGTCATGATTGGAGGCAGCCAAAAGTTCCACTACCCTAGCAGAGACATATTCAAGAAGAAGTTGAGAGACTCATAACCGAACGATTGCACAATTTCCAACATGACGAGGCTGCTGACGATGCGTTTTGACAAGACATGACCAACATAAGCATGTCACCATTCACGAATAAGATCGAGCGGACAGATGCATCTCGCAGGTTCACTATGCCTCACTTCATTCAGTACAAGGGAGACGAAGATCTAAATCGACATCTCAAGCACGACTGCAGCACCATGATCCTCTACAGGAACAACGAGGCGCTTATGTGCAAAATTTTTGCCACAACTCTACAAGGCGAGGCACTAGACTGGTTTCACACTCTGCCGCCGCAGTCGATCTGGAGTTTTAACGAACTTTCCTTTGTTTTCACTAAGGAGTATTCGTCTAACCACTTAATCAAAAGGACATCCGACCATCTCTTCAGCATCGTAAAAGACCATTAGGAGACAATTCGCGACTATGTCAAGAGATTCAAAACGGAGAAGGCCAAGATTGTTGGTTGCAACGAAGACATAGCAACGGCAACATTCAGAAATGGACTTCCCACCGAACATCCTTTATTCGGAAAACTGATCATGGGAGAAGAACTGAACCTAGCAGCTTCCTATACTTTAGCAGAAAAACATGCACTATGGGACGAGGCCAAGCAGTCTAACAAAAATGAGTCGGAAAAGAAGCACATGGAACGTTCCCCAACCAGAGAAGACTCAGGGCCTGAAACATTCACCAAATTCACAGTTCCAATCAGCCAAATTCTCCACAAGCTCAAGAACGAACCTTGGTTCGAACTGTCGTCACCCATGAAAGGCGATCTTACCAGGCTGGATTATACAAAGTATTGCGTATTCCATCAAGGACCAGACCACACTACTAATGGCTACCTGAAGTGGAAGCAGTATCTTGAGAAGCTAACAAGCCGAATAAGGGAATCTACATCAAAATAGGAAGCAGTATCTTGAGAAACTAATTTCCTATTAAAGAGGGAATCTACATCAAAATAGGAAGCAGTCATGCGTTTCCTAAAGCAAGAAGATCTCTACACCTGCTGTCATTTCCTACGAGCAGCCCAGAAGGTGTGGGGGCATTTGTGGAGCAAAAAATAATCACAAGGCGACACGTGGATTTTTCAGATGAAGATGATAAATTTACTCTCGAGGCATACCGGGTCTCCTACACGTGAGCAATGGAGAATCATCCATCAACCAAATCAGGAGTACCCAAAATAGGTAACAAGTTTAAATTTGTCTCATCCATCTTCATTCCATAACCTCCAAAAACCTCCCAAAACATTTCTTTTATTATGATAATTAGCCAATTAATATACTTATACCTAATTAATATATTAATTGCTAATAGATCACCAAATAACACCCCAAAACACACTTAAAGGCTGACCACACCCCATTCCCTATATATATGACCCTATTTCTTCTAAAAAAACTAAGTTGATACTCTTGCAAAACTCCCAAAAATCCTCTAAACACTTTTTCTCTCTAAATTCTAACTTTGGCATCGGAGGTTCTTCGGCCAAAGCCCCTCATTCATCGTGGGTGCGTGAGGTTCTTGGCCTTGACCAAAGGTGTTGATTGTTTTGTAGGTGCAATTTTGTCCAAGAAGAAGAAGGCGGAAATTTGCATCCACACATGTGAAAAAAAAATGTTTCCTCTTGTAATATGATTCAACATTTTGTATTATTAGATTGTTAATCATATCTGAACTATTAGTTGTCTATGTAATCTTTATTTGAGCTTGAATTTGTCTAAAATAATAACACAATGTGCCATATGTAGTTATCTTTTTTTTTTAAGAAAAGATATTATATACCTTAAAAAAAATCATCACTTACCTGAAGTGGTCTCATGGAGCTCATTCCTTTCAATTATAAAACAAACATCTCAAAGAAGTTGTGAATTTAAGGGCTTGTTTTGATGTGCTTTTAAAATAACTAAAATCGTTTTTAGAGAAAATGTTTTTGGGTTCCAAAAGCACTTAAAATACTTTTTGCAAAAAGCACCAATTATATGCTTATTCCAGGAAGCACTTTAAGTGCTTTTCCAGGATTTACTTGCATCTTTACTAAAGATTGGTTCTAAAAATATTTTCACCAAAAGTGCTTTCAGTTATTTTAAAAGCGCATCCAAACCAGCTCTAAGTTTGTGGGAGTTACAACTTCTTATTTGAAGAGGCTGTGACTAGAAAAATAACAAGAAAATAGTGGTGTCTTAATTAAATTCAGTCATTGTGGGATGAAAAATTGAGAGAGAACCGACATAGCTTTTCGTGTCAATTCTCACAGTGCCAAATGTTGATACACAAAATCGGATCAATCTTGGACCAACGTAAATCTGACCGTAAATCACACAAACGCACACGAACACAAAGATATATCGTGGTTCATCTCAAGTTGAGGCTACATCCACACTGGTGTCGATTCGGTTTCACTATATCAATGAAGGTTACAATGTACGTGAAGGCTATAGAGACTAGGGTTTGCTCTCTTTGTTCTTCTTTGCCCTCCCTCCAAGTGAGGGTGAAGGATCTCTTTTATAGAATAAGAGTTTCCTTCGCCCCCTACATACATTATGGGCTAAGTCATGAGGTCCAAATACTAGGGCCCAATGTATGGTACAACAGAGTTCTTAGAGAGAGAAGACATACCTATTTGTTAGATGCCAATTTAAGCTGTTGTAGATTTTGCTCCACTCTGTGACTTCTTTAGAAGATATAAAGCTACTTAAGGCTACAAAGGGTAGACCTTCACACTTGCGATCCACTCTTGGTCGAATTCTTTGATCAATCTTATAAACAAGTCTTCAATAACATAGGATTGGGAAGCAGTAAGTGTAACCCATGCATAACAGTCGAAATGTCTGTTTACAATTTCATGGGTCTAGGTCTTGGCGACTAGATTTGTCTTCCCTGATCCTCAACTGTTTGTTGTTGCTCTTCATTCATTAGCCATTCCATCAACATTTGCTTCTTGCCTCACAGCCGATGAGTTCATTTTCCCAAGGAAGATGGAAGACTACTTGGTTCCTCACCCATTTTCGAATATCATCACCAGTACTTTTTCCTTCTACAACAACAGCACCATGCCTCTGATTTCTCTCCAGAGTGGTTTGAATCGTTATTGTGATTTTCTTTAACTTGTTAGCTATTGATGCTGATACCAAATATTCTTTGGAATGCGAATGGTTTTGCGGAGCCATCTTGCAAATCAACCGCCACTTTGCTGCTCATACATATGATACGTGTGAACCATCAATGATGTCTTCAACGTCATACGTCATGTCTCGCACACATGCAATCCACGTTTTTTCTACTTCCATATGTGCTTTCTTGCTATCAACATCATGCATGAAGGATTTCTTGATTAGCAGCTCCTGCTTGATCACGAACACCCGCTATGGATGATGCTACGTTTTCAAAAATTGCTACGACCATGCCAATCAAGAGGCCTGTTGCAACTGATGACATAAAAGCTAATAAAAAATGCTCACTTAAAGTTGATTTCAGGGAGCAATCAATTGAATTTGGAAGCATGTCAGTAAAACACAATATAAGGAAGACGAGGTTGAGAAACGCATGTCTTTAGTTACGCCAACGCCCCTACGCAACAAGCGATCTTGATGGTCAAAGGCTTCAGAAGGGCACGAGAGCCGTTCCACACCCAACTTAGTCATGAAATAGGATGGTGATGTTAACACAACCTATTTTACCACAAACCATCAAACACACCCTAAAAACCTATAAAACCAAATGAAAGAGCAGCGTCAGAAGTTAAACAGAAAGTGTCTAAACACCACCGTACGAAAAATTCACCCACCAACATCCCTCAGTAACCCCATCGATTTGTTTTCACTTCACCGGTTCACCCCACCCTAAACCTAATTATCGAAAATAACAATAATATTGAAAGTTCAATGACAATTTTTTTTGTTGGGTTTACTAGTGTATCTTTTGACTTCAAATAAAGGCAACTTTAACAATGATATATGTGAAGTTACCCCATGGATCCGTCCAAGGTTCGAATACATTACGCATTTTTTCATATAAATACAGTGGGGTTATATTAACGTGTTGAATGTTACATTCATATCTCATTCAACATTTAAAGTCAATTGTCCCAATTTGTAGAGAATACAACCCACATCTACTTTCGGTCAACCAGAGAAAGGCAGCCTGCAAAAGAAAATAACAAAAAAGTAGATTGATAAAACGGAAAAGTAAATAAATATCATTTGGGCAGCATGCTAAAACAGTTTTTTTTTTCCAAATTCAAACCTCTACGGCCATGTTTGGACGAGAGAATTGCAGGTACTAGGGCATTTAGGATAAATTACTTAGAAATGAACTGCTTGTTAAAAAGATTTAAATACAACATGATCATCAAAAACCCATGAAGGATTTAAAATTCTCGGTACTTGCAATTCCCTCATCTAGACGGGGCTTAAAAATGAACTAGGTATAAAGAACGTCAATATTCAGTATGTGTACAGTTCTAGAGAAACTACAATGTGTTTTAACTAACTTAGCTGACCACATAATGTAAGATCCACATGTGATCTCCCTAGTATTTCACACACACTATAAGTAAATAGTTTCTCAAGCATTACCCAAACTAGAATCCAACCATCAACCATCACATTATAGTATTTACTAAATAAGGTCTGAAACCATTATCTTCTAAAAACATGATCCATCTAGCATTTTTCCCCTCATTAAAGTCAAAGTCTTCGTAGTAATTACCCATGCTTCCCAGTAGCTCAACATTTGAGTTTCACGCCATCGTTAAACCTTCTAATGACAACTAAACGGTAACAATGTGGAAAAGAAAAATAAATTTTGATTCACCATAAAAAGTGTGCATGGCTAAATTGTAAATGTGGGAGCTTACATTAATTATGTGGGAGATACTAGGCTACTACTAGGTTTTTCCAATAGCGGGTGGTAGCATTTTCCGTTGATGAACTACAAGTAGGCATGGCTAATTTAAAACCGGAAAATACTATATTTATAGCCAACAAAATACTTATGCATGCAAAGAGTAGTGCAACTTCCTAAATGCTCTAGAAATATTGCTTCCTGAAATAAATATATCCATCGAAATTAATGCAGCACATCAAACATATCAGATGATTTAAGCGCACCCCAATTTTAGAGATGTAACTGAGTTGTCATAGTCTTGAGGACCGCTGTTAGATTTACAGAGATTGGTGACAGACTCTGATGACTGACCCTCCTCCGTAATCAGGTTCTCTGAATCGACATGAACAAGCCTACGGCCATTAGATTTCTCCACCACCTTCAACAATCATACCAAGAACTCCCATTAGCAAATTAAGCAAGAATCAAACATATACCTAGATGAAGAGTCGGCAGAGAGATCTTATACTTGCTGTCTTAATCGTTCATTCTCTTCCGTCAATTGCATCGCCTGCACATTCATCTATATCATGTCAAGAAAAACATTAGGACAAGAAAAGGCAAATAGAGGAAATATTTGGAGGACAACATTGTCTGGACCTTACTGCCGATGAACTGCTCAAGCACTGGGAATCTACTATCAAACAAATGCACTACAATCTTAGTAAACTTTTTAATGATACGTTTCAAATCCCGTTGAGTTCTCAGGCATTACATAAGAGTTAAATTCACTGTAGGACAAAAGACTAGCACAACAGAAACTATTATCCCAATTAGAATGTGAACCACACATACAATAATTCGTATATTCATTAATTTTCAACTATTAGCTTGAGACATGGTTACCTTAACTTTTAAGAAAAAAAAATTTTGTTTAGTGATTCTCTAAAATGACATCAAAATTCGGAGTGCACGAGGTCTAGATTGAAACCTCCAATCTACCGTTTGTCAATTATCTGTTAATTTATTAGGTCAGAAGATGTAGTTTGGGGGAGTTGCATGGTCAAGAGTTAAAAGGTAACTAACATTTCTTTGAAGATCGTTGATCTCTTTCATAATCTTTTCACTCTGTTGAAAGACAACAAAAATGTCCACTTATTAGATATTAAACAATTATATAGAGGCAAACCTATAGAATAAAACAGACCTTTTTCTCTACTACGCCACCCAAGCCAGCTTCAAGGGACTTCTCCAATTGTTGCAGTTCTTCCAAACTTAGTCCTTGAATTTCTTCTCCTCTCATCTGCCTGTAGTTCAAGGAGCTTATGTCATAATTAGGGACCACAAACTAGTAATTGTTTTTAAAACCAGAGATTTACATATACCTAAGTTGATGACTTTTTGCTGCAATTTCCTTGCTCAACCTGGAGTAGTTGCTGTTCTCCACTAGCTACATCAGAATTAACAATTCTTTTAAGCAAAGGCCAAAAATCCAAAGGCTGTTGATTATTTACTGTAAACAATACGTGAAAAGAACAAAAACCCAAAGATTTATCCATTTACAATTCAACAGTGATAAGTTTATCTTATACCAAGTCAGGATGCTAACAATAGAGAGCGAAGGACTTCAAGTAAAGAAGGCTTATTTTATGCTACACCCCCCCTAGCATCTGATTTTAATCTGGCTTTGCTGCCTGTAACTCAAAAATCACCAGTTTACTCCCTAAAACTCAAAGTTTGCTTCACTTTGCCCCCTGGAACTCGATTTTGATCCCTTTTTGCCCCTGAAACTTGAAAGTCGTTTGTATAAAACTCAAAATTCGCTCCACATTGCCTTAGAAGTTAGATATGCTAATTTCTTATGTGGGTTTGATTTGGGTGCACCAGACTAATCAATTTCTTTTTTATTTTTTTCATCTCTTCAATTTCTTTTAAACTTAAGATTCTCTAACTGTTGAATGTTAAGCATAATGAAGATTTTTAATCAATATTGCACATGTGGCATAACCTTATTAGGTGTTTGGTCCCATGTGTTTTAAGAGGCAACCTATAAGTTTCAGGAAGAAGAATGTCCACAAGTCAAAGTGGAACGAATTGAGTTGAAGTTTGAGGGGGCATAGTGAAAAATAATTTAATAAAGAATGCGCGTTATAATGCATCTTAATAAATCTTGTATTGAGTTCATGCATGTAGTTTACTTTTTTCACCTTCAAATGCATGCATTGTCATAGAAGCTTTACTAACAGAAAATATGGATGATCCAAAAATTATATTACTCTAGGCTATGCATGCCTACATTATAACATGATTTACAAATTTAGGAGTGCAATAATATTCTAAAAGAATTCGTTCTTATACCATTAAGTTTCAAAACTTGTCATGTTGCAATGGCTTCAAGTCCACAAGATTCATGTTACCAAGTTGGCTATGTATTATTGTGTACAACTCGAGGGTACCAAACTCATCACCACGATACGATACATAAAGGACCAACCTGTAACTCAAGAGATGGTTGTTCTAGTTTGTCGAGATTCTTTGAATGCAAGTTGTGCCTTTCTAGAATTTCCTTCATACTGCAGAAGAAGAAGAAAAAAACAATGCAGGTCACTAGCTAGGATAGCCAGAAATCTTCAAAACAATATAATTATATAAAAGATAACACATGCGAGATGGAAAAGACAATAGGAAGTTCAATATTTGGTTTAGCATTTAAATTTTTTTTTCATATTTTAGTAAACACTTGTCACACACTTTTAAACTTAAAGTTGCTATAAATATGTTTTTCCTTAAAAATCTTGCAACGCGTATTAAGAATAAGTTAAATAACTGATAATCGCTATTACATGCACATGAACTCGTATACAAAGTTTATAAACATTGAAGGTTCATTTATACTAATAAAAGAAAAACCCTATAGACAGAAATTACTCGAAAATGAATGAAGTTTAACTAGCTCTGATTGCATCTAGTCTCTTCGTTGTTGAAGGAGGTCTTGGTTCAAATTTTATTAACGAGAATTTTCAATGTTGTAAACAAACATAAAAGGTTAAAAAATGTGTCTTTGTTGTGTGATCTCACCCCGTTAGCCTCCTAATTCAACTTAATATGCAACGCCAAATATAGTGATGATTTGCCAAACTTGTATTCTTTCATCATTTTTGTATTACAAACTATGGCCTATTTGGTTCAAACACAGCCAAAAGTAAAAGGAAATAACAGATTAAGCCACAACCATACTATAAAGGATAATTAAAATCCAAGAAGAATACAACAATTTTCCTTGACGAAATCACAGTACAGAAAGTGAGAGTAAAAGCACATGGAAGGAAGTCACTTGCAACTTGATGAAGCAGTCCAGTCATGACTGATCAAAACAACACTTCTCAAGTTATCAGAAACAGCAGTTCGATTAAGCCATACTTGTTTAATGCATATATGATAATTTTTTTTTTTTGAACCAACGCTAGCAAACAACATCCACATCCAACTTGCGCTACAAAGACCTTCAATCATATTATTTGAACATCTAGTTAGTAGCTTGACTAGCTAACCTAGCCTGTTTCTTACTTCTTCCCATTCAAGTGGGTCTTCTCCTTCTTCATCTTCCCATTAAAAATAATATTACAGAAAAAAGAAAAAAAAATTGTGTATGCAAGTGAGAGAGTGAGAGAGGGAGACCTAGAGCTGGCGTATTCAAAGAGCTTTCCGGTGGAAGAAAATATGATAAGAGCAATATCGGCATCACAGAGAACGGAGAGCTCCTCAGCCTTCTTGAAAAGGCCTCTTCTCCTCTTGGAAAAGGTCACCTGCCTCGCTGTCGCGTTGTCGATCTTCTTGATCTGAATCTTCTCCCTCGCCATCTCTTAATCTTCAGTTAAATTAATTCGACCTTTTTCTTCTTCTGGTTCTCCTGAAGAAGAAAAAATAAGATAAAAAGAAGAATATTATAGCTTGTTTTGGAATGGAATATTTTGCTTTTTTGTTTAGGCTTATGTTTGAGTCAGAGAATATAATCAGCCAAAAGCTAACCAGAAAAGGCGAAGAAATTACAAGCAAAGGAAGGAAGGGCTTAATTGGAGAGGGACAGGTCCAGTGCCAGAACTGGCAGCATTTTGCCAAATTTAGCCAAAAATCTTTGGAGGATGTGGGGGGCAAAGGCAAACCCTAAAAATGAAGTGTAGGTTTACTAGATAGAGAGAGAGAGAGAGAGATCAAAAGAGACAAAGGGACCCATCATCCATCTCCATCTCCATCTCCATCTTTAGATTCTGAACCAGATCCAGAGTTTCAAGACCAACAAGTCTCAGAGGGAACGAAATGCTTCCAACCAATTGGAGAAAAGGAAAGGATAAAGCTTAAGAGAGGTAAAGGGATTGTTTTGTTGATTAGGTGAAAGTGGATTTGTTGACGCCTACAAGGTTCTTACCAGTGTGAGTAAATCTTGGGGAGATGTTTTGGTTTTGCTGCTGTATTTGGATGGGTGGATAGAGTTCAGAGCGGTTAAAACTGAAAAGAGACCAATGAGAACATTGAGAAGTGGAGAGGGAGAGAGAGAGAAAGAGTGAGCGAATGAGAGGGAATGCATGCGGAAGTGTGGAAACAGAAGATGCTTTTTATGGGGAAGCAAATGTCTATTTCTCTCGTTTCCACGTCTTTTACCGTTTAGTTGCTGTTGGCGTGAAACTCAAATGTTGAGCTGCAGGAAGCATTTGAGATAAGGAGGGGGAAATGCTATCAACACTCTCTTTTACCTAATTTTTTTTTTAAAAAGAAAATTAGCGAAAAGTTTAAAATAAAATTTTTTTAATAAAAAATTATTTTTAAAAGTATAATAAATAGTATCAGGCAAAGGTATAAATATGATTTTTCGTTAAAAGTGAACAATACCATAAGTATTTTGTTAAAACTCCATTTTTAAAATCACATAATTTGGCGATTGATTATTAAATTCTATTTTGAATGATGGTAGAGAAATTATTTATTTAACTTATATTTTGTAGACCACAAGGTATTGATGATTAGATTTCACGTCATGCAATTTACAAAATATAATATAAAAAAATTTATCTACAGCATCACCCTAATGAGAAAATTTGAGTAGGGCTTAACCTGCTAGTGAACTGTGTTGAGTAGCACTACCAACCACTCAAAGCTTGTCATATGTTAAGTTTTGAGAATAATATGTTACCACATAATTGTATTTAAAGTTATCATAACTAGATTAGCGTACACCTTTAGACTCATCTCATAGGCTCATGGACCATGTTTTCTCTTTCCTTGCAATTCTAGCAAAAAAAAATCTCAACTCATAAACTATGTGTGATCAATTATGTTACTAAATGAGATCAAAACAGAAAAATATAAAGTAATATGAAACTTTCGTCTTTGATTGCATTGTGCCTTTGTTGTACAAAGATGTCTCATTCATCTTCCTACAGATTTTGCCTTCAACGTTCATCATCTTCCCATTTTCTGTACAAAACTCATTATTGAAAATGAAAAATTAAACTCGTGTACCAGGAACAAACCCATTTCAATGGGAAAATAAGTAGACTTTTTGTCTGATTCCATACGGCTACCGATTCCTAAATTGTTGGATTTCTACGTTATTTGATTCTTTATGTTCTCCGTTACTATTAAGTAAACGCAACTTGAAAATCTTGCGTTTTCACATTTGGAAAATATCAGGTCAAAAAAACAGAATCTTTTATTTATGGGATACTTTAGATGTGGTCCATAATCCTTAACATTCTTTGACTAAAACCTTAATGGTATTTAAAGTTTGATCAAAATCCCTTGACTTTGTACATCTCATTATATTACAATTAATATTTATATTTTTATAATTTTGACATTAATTGTTTGATATTTTATGAGATTTATAATCCTATAAATTTAAAATTTCTCATTATAATACTATTAGAAACGGTTACAATAAAAAAATTCAAACATTTTGATTGAATAAATGGATAAAAACTATGTAAAAATAAGAAATAATAAATGGCAAAAGAATGTATCCATAGTGTTAAAAAAATTGGTAAATTTCACATATAACAAAGTGGTACATTAATAAAGAAGAATTAGTACATTATAAATAAATTAGGATACATATAAAAAGATTAAAAAATTATGAGTACAAATGAATTTTTTTTAAAATATAGATGCTAAAATAAATTAATACATGGGTACAAAATAAAACTAAAAAGAAAATACTACAAATTTGAAAAAATGTTGCAAATTAAAAGTGGATACAAACTAAAAATATAAATATATGATACAAAGTTTAGGCATAAAACATAAATATATCATATGTAATTTTTCTATCATTGATTAAATATACAATGTCACGTGATGGTATACATATAAGTACAAACACAAATAAAATTTTAAAAAATATGGGCACAAAAAGAAATTAATACATGGGTACAAATTAAAAATGAAAAAAAAATGATACAAATTAAAAATAGGTACAAACTAAAAATAAAAATATATGATAAAAATTTTAATCATAAATATAAATATACTAATTATAATATTTTTAACACTAATATATTTAAAAATAAAAATATTTTATTATTCAAATAATTAATTATATTATTAATACTCAAGTACTTTGATTAAAAATTAAAAATAAATAAAATTAATGAAATAGCAAAAAGAATAATGTGAACATAATACCTTCTTTATTTATCTTTAGTTGGGTCGTTGTAGTTTGTGCGTGATTGACAACGAACGCACTGGTACAGGGTTTTACTTACAGGCTTACTGCTCAGAGCAGTGCCCATACTGGTGTGACTTGTACCTGTATGCCGCACCCTAAACCTTCAGTATTAGTAGCTTTTTACGGAGTGATCAGTGATCGATGTTGACTGGTCTTCCCCCATACCTGGCCAAGCACGTCCCTCCCTCAATCATGCACTAACTTCTCTTTGAGATTCGATTTCTCTTTTTATTTTTATAACTAATCTTTCTTACTATTTCTTGGGTGCCTCCAATCTCATTTACTGCAGTTGCTTTCTGATGAATGTGTGTGCTGTACTACTGTTGTTCACTGTAGAATCAAAATAATGCCGTAAAACGAAATTGTACTTTCAAAACCCAATGCGTGAAGGGTTGGCCGACGAATCTCAAATTTGGGCCTAATGCGAGCAAAGGCTTACTAGGAGTTTGCTGTTGAATGATGTATGAATAGGGAGCACTCCCAGCCATATGTGTAGAGATGTAGCCAAGTTGTGTAATGTAGTGGATGGAGTTGTACTTATGACTTGACAGTATTGAGGATAATCCTTGTAGATATTATTAAACTCTTCTGATTAATAATATTAATAATCCTTGTGTCAACGTACTTCATCAAGATTAATTATTAATGCAAAGGACTATCTTGAAAAATCATTAATAGGATGTAATTAGGCTTCTTGTGTAATAGAACTTATCTTCAATGAGGAAAGCTTAAAGGCATGAACTAGTTATGAATTCAGCCTTTAATTTGCCTTATATCATTGCCATGAGTAGAGGAGCTCGAAGAAGTGGTAGTCAGATCTTTTTCTCCACATATGCCTTACACAATTGTTGTGTTGCACCTCCTAGGTGCAGAAGGTGTAGAAATTCTAATTTGAGTGGGCCAGCCAAAATTTAATTTATTGACTATATAAGATTATGAGCTCTAACTTATAATAGTCTTCAAGAGATGGAGTCCAATTGCATTTTGATTTAATTTACTCTACTTTAAATAACCTAGAAAGTAATTATTTTCCAAACAAGAAAGAGAGAAAATTAGAGGAAATTGTTCCCCCGTCCCCAATTTTCTTCTTTGCTTGCTGCGTGAAAAGTTGTTTTTCATCTTTGTCGTTATGTGTAGCAACTCCAAGGTAAGAAAAAGAAAAAAATTCTACAATTGTGGCTCGACTGGAGCTACAGGAGGAGTCAACGACGCGGCTAAGAGGAGTATCGGCGCGGCTAGAAGTTGGGGATCAGGTAAATGAGACATGGAGTCGTGGTGCAGGAGGGTTGGCGCGGACTGGGTAGCTGAATGAGGGATAGGCGCGCTAGACTCACCCGAGCTGGGTTTATGAGGCCTCTCTAGAGTCATTAGGCTGTAGCCCACTAAGGCTGCAAATGCAACTGTTGTTGCTGTTACTTGAGTTGAGGCCTAGCACACGGGGGTGTTGAGCTACAATATGGTGCCCAATCTTTCTTCCTCTTTGTTTTTTTCAAACAATTTTTTAAATATTTTTCGGTATTTAGTGCACAGTTGTTTCAGAATGTCTTCTCCCGAGAGTAAGTGTGATGAATATCCCCTACCCAAGTATCGTCTTGGTGGTATTTTGGGAAAGTATGATACTTAGAGCTACTTATGTGAAGATTAACTTCGATGATTTGTTCCGGGACTTCCTTAAAGAATTTAAGCATGCAATTTCGTCCAATGCTCATGTGAAGCAGGTGGAGGATAGATGTAGTCAAGAGTCGTGTGTTGAGGCTACTTTTACATGAAAGAGAGCTATCACGTTCCATCCCTACTACTTCATGTTGGGATTCAATTTTCCTATGTCACGCTTCTACCAAAAGGTGATCTACTCCGTGAAGTGTGCTCATGTGCAGTGTTCTCCCAATACAATTTGTGCGATGGTGGGATTTTCCAACCTTGTTCTTTCATATGGAATTGCCTATCCATAAATTCTGGTACTTCTTCAAAATTGGCCACAAGGATGGCATAAGGCAGTTGTGGTTTGTGCCATAAGTGATGCGAAAATTAACTTAACACACAAATTTAACCCTCTTTTGACAATTGTAGTATAAGTATAAGTAGGGATCGTTCTGGACCGGGGATTAGGAGGGCTTGCTAATAACCTATAAACTGACTTAAAAACATAAAACTAAACTTAAAAACACTTAACAAGACTCACAAGACTCAAAGCAAACTTAAAATACTCAAAACAGCTTAAAACAACTAAATAAACTTAAACTAGACACTAGGAATGACTTTGGACGAAAATTGACTTTTACTTGAATCAAAACATTTAAAAACACAAATTAAAACATATTCTAACTAATTAGACACACTAAAGTAAAGGGGGAGTGAGTTTTGGACGAAATTGAAACAAACAAACAAGTATGAAAAACTAGACAGATTGTAAAACAAATTTGAGAAATAAGATGATGGATGGGATAGCAAGAGGCTTTTTCTCCACACATGATATGTATGCAAACAACTCGATTTCCAGTTACTACTCCATTGAACTATGAATGACAATGCTCCAAATTAACCGTGACATCACTAATTAACTCTCAGATTTTCCTTCTTTTATTGGATTGGATGACATCATTCGACAACCCAAAACATTCTTCAAAAGTTCCCTACATGACATCATAATAGAGATACAATCAAAGATCATTACGTTTAATGAAAATCATAAGCATTAACAAAGCACTTGCAACTATGACATCATGTCACTCATGCTAGGAATTGAACTTAACGTGATCGTTTATAAGCGACCTTCACTACATGTGAATATAAGTTTGTAACGATTATGTGAAACTTCCTTACATTCTAGCAACGGATTTATGCATGCCAATTAAGTGTCGACCCTTAATTAACAAATAC